CAGGACAGAGAGGATGTCCTTTCGGATATCTTGGGGGAGCTGGGTCCCGATCTTCAGCGTGCGTTCCGGCCGAGAGACGTCCAACGGAACTTCTTCCACGTCTCCGACCGGTTCGGCCTTTGGCGTGTCTCCTTCGGCCGAGGCGGTGGTGATAGTGTCTATCCGCTCCTCGGCCTCATTGATCTTCCTTGTGAGCTTCAGGTAGCAAGCCCTGGCTATCTTCTGGTTTCCCTTGGCGTAGCCGACGCCGTCCTTGGTGGGGAACTTGAGGCATAGATGTCTCATGGAGATGATGGCTCCATCGAGGTGGACGCCGAAGGTGCACTTCTTTGGGTTGAGCCGGAGGTTGTATCTCTCCATGATCTCGAAGATGCCCCGAAGGTCGTCGGCATGGGTTGTGGATTGTTTGCTCTTGACGATCATATCGTCGACGTATGCTTCCATCGTCCGACCTAAGACTGCTCTAAAAATCCGGGCTACCATCCTTGTGTAGGTGGCGCCGGAGTTCTTGAGCCCAAAGGCCATGACGAGGTAGCAAAAAATTCCCTCCGGGGTCATGAAAGCGGTCTTCTCCGCGTCATCTTCATGCATGGATATCTGGTGGTACCCTCTGAACGCATCGAGGAACGACATCAACTCGCACCCCGCCGTCTCGTCCACCAACTGATCAATGTTGGGGAGAGGGAACGGGTCCATTGGACACGCCTTGTTCAGGTCAGTGTAATCAACACACATTCTGAACGTGGGCGGCTTTGGTGCGAGGACGACGTTCGCCAACCACGTGGGGTACTTCACCTCTTTTATGTGCTTGATGGAGAGCAGCATGGCCACCTCGGCCTTGACGAACTCCCTCCTGTCGGCCGAGAGGTAGCGCTTCTTCTGCTTGATGGGGGAGGATGCCGGATCGACTGAGAGCCGATGTGTGATTACTTTTGGGCTGATGCCCGGCATGTCCTCTGGTCCCCATGCGAAGACGATGGCGTACGTTCTCAGGACAGAGAGGATGTCCTTTCGGATATCTTGTGGGAGCTGGGTCCCGATCTTCAGCGTGCGTTCCGGCCGAGAGACGTCCAACGGAACTTCTTCCACGTCTCCGACCGGTTCGGCCTTTGGCGTGTCTCCTTCGGCTGAGGCGGTGGTGATAGTGTCTATCCGCTCCTCGGCCTCATTGATCTTCCTTGTGAGCTTCAGGTAGCAAGCCCTGGCTATCTTCTGGTTTCCCTTGGCGTAGCCGACGCCGTCCTTGGTGGGGAACTTGAGGCATAGATGTCTCATGGAGATGATGGCCTCAAGGTCCTCCAAGGCCGGTCGTCCCCAGATCATGTTGTGGGCGCTGTCCAGGTTGACGACCATGAACTCCATGTCAATCTTCGCCTGACAGGTACCATCACCGACCACAACGGGAAGCACTATCGTGCCCTCGGCGTCGATAGAGTCCCCGGTGAAGCCGGATAACGGAGTTCGTATCGGCCGGAGCTCGGTCTTCTTCAGTTTCAGCTGTCTGAAGGTGTCAACGTACATCACATTGACAGAGCTGCCAGTGTCGATGTAGTTGCGGTGGATGATGTTGTTGCCGATCTCGCATTTGACGACGAGGGCGTCCCTGTGAGGCAAGGGGCCGAAGGGGAGGTCCTTGTCGGTGAAGGTGATGGCCTCCAAGTGCCGTCGCTTCGGCTGAGGGGGGGCGTGGGACACCTCACCAACGTATAGGGACTGAGCCCATTTTTTTCGTTGGGTAGCCGAGTCCCCCCCTGTGTTCCCGCCGACGATGATGTGAATGTGATGTTTCTTCTGGCGGGGCTCTTCTTCGTCCTCATCTTCACTGAGGGCGCCGATCTCCCTCTTTTTCCCGGAGGATCCTTCCCCCCTTTTGCCAGGGTTAACCCAAGTGTTACTCTTGGGGGCACCCTTGACAAATTGGGAAAGTTCCCCCTGTCGGATGAGGCCGTCGATGTGCCTCTTCAAGGTGGTGCAATCCTCGGTCTTGTGGGATGTCTGGCGGTGGTACTTGCAGTATGTCCCTCCTTTGTGGACCGCAAATATCTCCTCCTCTGACCTGGGGTCCTTCACGATGAGGCCCTGCGCCTCGGCGTGGTCAAGGACGACGCTCACCGGGTGGGTGAGGGGGATGCGTTGTGCCTCCAACTTTGGACGCCATGAACGATCCTCTCTTCGCTGTCCGCCTTGCTCCTGGTGTGCCTTCTTTGGCTGATTCTGTCCTTTGTTGGCCGGTGCGTGGTGGGGGTTGGACGAGGAGTCCTTCTTTTGTTGCTTCTCCCCACCCTTCTTCTGGTTCAGGAGCTCGTCGGCATCAGCGTGCCTATCTCCGCGTCGGAGCGCCGCAAGGTATGACCGCGGCGGCTCCGTGAACAGGCTCCGGGCGAAGTGGCTCGGCCGGAGTGCTCCGCGGAGGAAGGCCAGGAGGGTGCGCTCATCGGCTCCTTCGCACTCGTCCGCCTCCCTCGTCCAGCGATCAAGGAAGGCTCGGAGTGTCTCCTCCGATTGTTGCTTGATGGTCAGGAGATGAGCGAAATGCTTCTTCGCGCGCTTCCTCCCGGCAAAGTGGGTGAGGAAGCGTTGAGCAAGGTCCTGCCATGAGTCGATGCTCCCCTCCGGAAGGTTGTTGAACCAATCGTACGCTGGTCCCTCCAAGGTGGACAGGAACCAGCGACACATGTACTCCTCCGAAGCGTTGGTCATCATCATATTGTTCTGATAACGGGTGAAGTGCTCCTGGGGATCAGTGCGGCCGTCATATGGCTCGATCGGGTTCCCCTTATACTTCTCCGGGATGGGAGCGGAGAGTACCCTCACAGAGAAGGGGGTTCTGGTCCGTATCTGGATGACGGGCTCATCGCGCCGGTCAGCCAACTCCCTTTCCAGAGCACTGACCTTGCTCAGGAGCGCGTCGTAGTTGGGATGCTGGGATGTGTGGGCCGATGCGCGCCCTGCGGCCTCTCGGGCCTCCATGTCAGCGAGGCGCTTCTCCAAACGGGCGATGATCTCATCCCTTGGGTCCGTGTTGGCCGCGGCACCGCCCAGAGGGGTCTGGATCCGGGCCACATGGGCCAGGTTAATTTGGTGGCGCGCATCGTCATCAACCAGCTTTCCTTTTCCTTTATCTGGTCGGGGCCGGTCCGTTGTCCGGGACACGGACCCGAAGCTTTCCTTCGGTGATCCCGGCTCGCGGGCACCCAACCGATCCGCCACCCTTCCCGTAGGTACCCGGCGACTCGCGATGTCACCCAGCCTGTTGAATGCTGAGACTTTACCGCGAGGTTGGGCCGGTGTATCCCGGGTAGGCGAGGCAGTATGGGAATGGGTGTCCACGGCGAGGACGTCTTCGTTGTTGCCGAAGAAGGTGACGCCCTGTGGACGAGGTGGCGGCGGTGGTACCGTCGCGACTTCCCCAGTCACGGGAGTGTTGTTCTCCTCTGTCTTTGCGACGAGGGCGCTGACGACGTTGGGGTCTTGGAGGATGCTTGCGACGATGGCCGATAGTGCGGCCGGGTTGATCTGGGGGGCAGCAGGGTGAGAAGCCTGCTGGCCCGAAGCACGATCAGCATTGCGCTTGTCCTCGAGCCCGATGCGGGCGTCTGGGGCAGTCTTGTTGAGCTGGGTGCGAAGGTCGGCCGCTGCGAGCTCGACCTCCTGAGCGTTCTCATCCTGAATGGTGAGATCATTGGGGACGTTGTCAGCAACGTTTCCCTGCCCTTCCTGGTTCAGAGGGGCATTCCTTCCGGTGTTCTTTGACCTAGTTCTTGTCATTCTGTTGCGTCTAGTAGCGACGAGGGGTACTCACTTGATCTGTTCTAGCTCTCAACGAGAGCACCAAATGATAGAGTATTAATTCTAGAGAGAAGTGAGAGCTAGAGAGAGAAAGTGGGTAATTATATTTCTCAACTTTGGAGCCCCCCCATAATTAGCCCCATGGGGTCTATTTATAGGTAAAAATGTGGGTTTGGGCTCCTAGCCTTGGGCTTAGGAGGCCCATTACAATAATCATGCCTTCTTTGGGCGAAATAAGGCCACTAATGGGCTGTGTACAACACTTAGTAAATAAAGTAGAGAGAAGCATTCTGCTCGTACGAAACCGAGCCGATGCGGTGCCTTTTGGCCGATGCGGTCCCATGGCCGATGCAGTCCATGGGCCGATGCGGTCCCGGGAGTCCATGCGTGCCTCCTGGGCCGGTTTGGTTTCTGGCCGATGCGGACCCACTGGCCGAAGGGGGCCACGTGGGTGTTCTTCTGGCCATCGTTGACTTGAGTATGTGGGCCATGGGGTCCAGGCCCATATACTCTATCATTCATAATTACAAATGTAAACCAAATTAATTCATGCTAATTCGATATATTTTTTCTTTAGAATACGTGGAAACGGCATCTTCCTTAACCTGCGCAGAAATGATATGGTGGTTGATTCTTCTACGGATGAATTTTGAATATGTCATTTTCTAAAGTTTTGACTTCTCTTTCTTATTGAAACACCATATACAATGGAGTTTAGAATGTAGACAAATCTTCATGTCAGGTCGGCCTGACGGGATGCTCTGTCCGGCCGAGGTCATTTCAGGCACTTCCCGGTGGAATTTTTTGATGAAATGTTTTGAGCATGTTTTTCATGAAGTCTAGTTTATCCATACCAAATTTCAGCTACAAATTCAATCGGGAAGACACTCAAATAATTTCTTGAAGTTAACTGGGCACTCTGTACGGAGTATAAACATTTATTAATAAATTAGGGTGTGAAAATATAATTAATAGAGGTGACATTTTATTCTCTGAAATGCTCTTAATTTTCCAACAATCTATAGGATTGCCTAGCTGAGAAATATTTGGTGTACACATTTTGTGTACATAAAATGTGTACACATGTCCGTCCTTCACAAAAAAATTGTCTCTCACACATAACTCAAAACAGTTGTCTACACAAAATGTGTAAACAACTATTGTGTCTACACATTTGTACACATTTTTTTAGATTCATTCCTCACGTAGATCATCACCTCTACCTCTGACAGCGATAGGACCACCATCTCCCCATCATTTTTCTCTCACAAGTCATCTTGTCATCGGGGGGTGCGACCTATTTCCTTCCGATATTTCCAAACTTCCGAGTGGAATCTCGTACCAGAAAGGAAGCTTTTGGCCGGTACAAACATAATCTCCTCTCATTTCTAAAACATTTGGCCGGCGAGCTATTTCTCTCACATTCACTTTTCAGCTTTTCACCGTACCACTATATGGGCGATTACTTCAGCATTAGACACTGATTCCGATCCTTATTTACTTTTCTAGCTAATGGAAGGGCCGCATCGAAGAAAATAAGTACGGAGCAGGTTATGTAATTGCATTACTTCACCTTTTCACTAATTGCTTTTCACCACTATCGGCGATTACTTCAGCATTAGGCACTGATCCGATCCTTATTTACTTTTGTAGCTCCTGGAAGGGCCGCATCGAAGAAAATAAGTACGGAGTATATCATGTAATTGCATTTCTTAATTTTTCACCAATGGCCAAATGGCTTTTCACCACTATCAGCGATTACTTCAGCATTAGGCACTAATTCCGATCCTTTTTTGCTTTTGTAGCTACTGGAAGGGCCGCATCGAAGAAAATAAGTACGGATAATATCATGTAATTGCATTTCTTCATCTTTTCATCAATGGCGTTTCACGAATGGCTTTTCATCACTATCGTCGATTAGTTCAGCATTAGGCACTAATTCCGATCCTTATTTACTTTTGTAGCTACTGGAAGGGCCGCATCGAAGAAAATAAGTACGGAGCAGGTTATGTAACTGCATTACTTCACCTTTTCACCAATGGCGTTTCACGAATGGCTTTTCACCACTATCGGCGATTACTTCAGCATTAGCTAGGCACTAATTAATTCCGATCCTTATTTACTTTTGTGGCAGGCTTTGGTTGTTCAAGCTACATATACTGGAAGGGCCGCATCGATCTAACTTCACATCTGTAAGTTTTGTGATTTTTAGATGCAATAATGTTTTCCGACCAGTTCAATTTGAGAACGATGGTGATGGTGATGGCCATAATGTTTTCCGGCCAGTTTAATTTGTGAACGATGGTAATGGCCATAATGTTTTCCGGCCAGTTTAATTTGTGAACGATGGTGATGGTGATGGCCATAATGTTTTCCGGCCAGTTTAATTTGTAAACGATGGTGATGGTGATGGCATTTTCCGGCCGGCCAGTTTAATTTGTGCACGATATAATAATAATAACAACAACAATAATCATACTCGGTAATAATAATCATAATAATCATAACAATATTATTATCATTATGTTTTTATTAATAAAAATACAATAATAATACAAAAAATCATAATAATAATCAAAATAATTAATAATATAATAATAATTATTATGATAATAATAAAAGTGATAAATTATGTTAGAACTTTTCTGATCTGAACTGATGTGATTTAAATTTTTCTGATTAGATCTAATCTGATCTGATATGAATGTTGCCGGTCTGATCTGATATAACTCTTTACAATCTATTTGATCTGAATTTTTCTTTTGTAGGTAAACATGGCATTTAAAGGATGCCCCGGTGTTGAGGTATGTATTTTTATGTAAATATGTTAGCTTTTAAGTTTTGCCGTGTATGTGTATGTATGACAAATACACTTTCTCTTCCGAAACTAGATCAGACCAAAAGTAATCATTTTCTCAAATCACGACTAAAAAACGTCCCTTACTGGCATTCAAACCACTTCCGCAGAGGAATCATCCTGTAGAAACAATTATCCATAAAATTGCTAACTATCATCTAAGCTCATCGTGACAAAGCAAATCACGGTATTTCTCACTAAATTAAACCAATTTTGACTTCAAAGACAATAAACATAATAAACCTATCCCAAAAAGGTTTATCATATTCTTTAAAAGTTATACCTTTGTGATTCATATTATTATTATTATTATTATTATTATTATTATTATTATTATTATTATTATTATTATTATTATTATTATTATTATTATTATTATTATTATTATTATTATTATTATTATTATTAGTATTATTATTATTATTAGTATTATTATTATTATTAGTATTATTATTATTATTATTATTATTATTACTACTACTACTACTACTACTACTATTATTTCCTCTACATCAATTTTTGACTACATAGTATTAATTACTTTAGGTGTTTTCTTTAAATATAACTAAAATAAAGTTAATTTCCAAAAATGTGAGCACATTTACATTTGGATAAAAATGGGACTAACATGATTATATATTTGGAAAAACTACAAATTGACTGCCAAATATTCATGTCACACATATCGAATGCCACTACCTCGTCGCCTGTGTCACGCCCGCCACCATCGCCCATGTCAGTGCTGCCGCCGACCACATTGACACCTCCGCAGTGACATCTCCACCTGGGGCGGCCCTGTATGTTCAAAGGCCTAGGGGCGGAAAATGAAAATGCTTCTAATGTTACAAAAAAATGTAGAAATCTTGTCCATCTAAACTCACATCAATAATGATAATAATAATAATAATATAATATGGAGTAATAATAATATTTCCAAGAATTTTTAAAAAATTGTCAAACACTGTTCTATCTAAACCAATCATATTATATATAGTATTGGCGATCCTTATTAAGGAAAGAAACAATAGTGATTCTGTTTGTACACTTTACCAATGTTTAAGTCATATTTAAGGAATTAAGTGTATATCACCGCCTATATTCCCCTACAATAGTTAGATTTGTTTGTCTACAAATCTAACCATTGTCTTTTCCGTATTCCGAGTTTTAAGAAAACACTTGTTAAAGTTGGGTTTAAGAAATGGGGTAAGAGCCTAATTTAAAAAAAAACACTTGTTTAGGGATTACTAATTTTTACAACCTGAGCTAGCAGCAGAATCCCGAAGGGTACGAAACTACCAATGGGCGCGTATTGACCAAGCGAGTCGCAACCCACCATTTTCTTTCACGCACTTTTGACCATAGGAGATGACCAGAAGACACTTCGCCGGTGAACAGAGAACACCTGCAACGGCTAATTCAAAAGTCCGGTGTACCGGCGTCTCTACACCTGGGAGGGGATGGGGTGGTGCGCATTGAGATGGAGAATCCCAATCTGCCTGCATGTCCTCAATTTTTAAATTCAATCAGTTGAACTTCGAATCCAAGCACAAATCAGTTTTCGAAAGCTACGCTCTTTGAGTGTGTTTTGGCTAAAATGGTATACAAATTCTCCAAATTACACAAACAAGATGGTAGCAGTGTAATAGGGATGATTCCTATCCAAGAAAATTTAAAAAGGAAAGAGCTTTGATCGTTGGTTTTTGCGAAAATCAGCAAGCGGCCTAGAATACGAAGGAGTTTGCGTGAATTCTAATGAGAGAAGGGATCGAGTAATAACAAACAACAAACAATCCAACCCCTATCACAAGTCGATTACAACCCCTTTACGTCATTGTGATCGTTCTAGACGAGGTTGAATTACGAAAAAATATGAGCTTAAAGCCCTGAAATAATTATATATTCAGTATAAGCTAAGAATAGCTCAAACCTACGAGTAAGGGCTGAAATAATTACCTTGTCTTCAATCCTAGCTTTCTTCTTTCTATTACAGAGTATTTTAACTCACTCAGATTCCATATTATTGAACCCAGGGTTGAACATTTAGGAGGGGCCGGGCAACCATTCAGGGTCCTTAAATTTGCTGTGCTCCCGAAATAGTTGAAGCCTCTGTTTGAGAATATATTTCACAAGGGTAGAATTTGAAGGAACAAAGATTGTACTCAGAAAATGAAATTTGTGAGATATGGGACTATCGAAGAATAGGGGATTGTCAGATAGAAGGTAGGAGCATAAGGATTAAGGGGAGCTTGTGGAAATCTAAGGGGCTTTCCATGATTCGGTAATTATTAGAACAAAAATTCTAGAGGTACCCCAAAATATACCCTATTTTGTACCCACCCCTGAATTGCCTGTGTACACAGACAATTCGTTTAAAAGAGGACAGGACTTTCTGTCCAAATGTCTGTATACACAGACGGTGTACAGATTGGGGTACAAATTGGGTACCCCAAGCAGGACTCTTATTAGAAGAATTACAATTAGAAGTTCTTTATGACAGATTAGGCGTTAGTATGTTTAAATTTCAATAATTATCTACAATCTTATAATCCCCAATGAGGGTTAGGGCAATTTAGGTAGGAAAAAAATGTTGGTGTAATCACATTGTTTAATTGAGTTGCACATTAAGCTCTACCATTTGTACTTTTTATTAATATGCCTGCCTTTCCGTTTGTTACTCTCATTACCGTCAGCATCTTTCCGTTTGATAACTATCTCTCATCCTCGGCAGTTAAAGCTCCTCATATTGTCCATTTGACATGGCTTATCTTCTATTTTCTCCCTCCGCACTAAGCTTCTGTGCTATTGATTTCTTTCATAACTGATGATTCCAATTATGATCCCAATCAATTCCCATATTTAATATGACTCTAATTGATCTTCCTCTTCATCCTTTCAACTTCTTCTGAGTCGGCGATATGAGGGTATGAATTTTGTCAAGGCTTCCGCAATTCCTCACAGGTTCACAACCTTACCATTGTTACCAGCTTCTGCTCCCTCTTGAAGTCCTTAGTAAGTTGTTTGCCTCTTGCTTCATATCTTTGCAATTCATTAATTTTCGTCACCAGGTTACAATGACCACCAGATTACAAGTGAGCCCGTCATATTCAACTAACAATTGAATGAAGACATCTTTCCTTGTCAATCTATATCACTAGGTTACGTTTTTACCATGTGGAGTAGTGCTCTTCGTTTTTCCATGTTAAAAGGCATAGCCTAAAGGTTGTCTTTAAAAAAACTTAAATTCAGATTGGTTTAGATATGCAAATCTCATTTTTGGGCTTTTCTTGTATGAAATTGACTGCATACTTTAATTAGAGGAGATATATTCCGCTATAATATAGCACACAAAGTGTTTGTCAATTTGTCTAGCTTCAATTCTTTGGGTTTTTATGGTTGGTCAACCCAGTTCTATGAAAATAGTATGTAGAGTTTAATTGGGAGAACAATTGAAACAACCAGAATCCTTGTTGAGGAGAAATTTGAGCATCAACATCCAAAGTCGAACACCACTCGATATACGGGTGAGATAGCTTAGATTGGTTATTTTGAATGTCCACGGATATGGGTTAGGTTAAGGTTTTGAATCTAAAATCATATCTATAGGTAAATGATCGCCCAAACTAATACAAAGTACTCCAGGAAATGGTCTTATCACTTTCTATGTCACCATGACAGATTAAAACAAAGCACTTCATTTTTTTATGCATGTTAGCTTGAGGGAACCTCTTTGTCTTGGTCCTGGTGATGATGAACTAATAGAGATAGTTGGATTCCAGATTTCAAGTATCTTATTGTATTTTTTCCTGCCGATAGCAATTATAATTATTTTCTTTTATTACCCATTTATTTTCACTTGAGTTTGGTTCAATTAAGTACGTGATATATCTTCATTATAGTATGTGCCCGCTAATCAAGAGTTGTTGGAGTGTGGGCTGTGTGGTGACTAAATGTGTTGATTTTTTAAACAAAAGAGTTACAATACATTCTTCTCACCATTTTTATTCATTCGTTATAAAAAGTTTTGTGGGATGAGCGCATTGTCCAAAGTTGTACCTTTCATTAGTGTACTATTAGAAATAGATCTGGTTAAAATGAAAGATTATATTTTTAGGAATGAAATGGATAGATTTTTTGTTCAATGGGTTTCAAATGGAAACTGTTAACCTTGTGAATATTATTAGTCTGTCAGTTTTGTGCTCATGGGGAAACCTTAAAAGATATTATGCTTCGTATATTCTTACGAGCTTATCTTTTCAAATGTCATTGGTTTGATTTGTATTATTCATTTATTTGTATCATTGTACAAATCATTACATATGAAGTAGCATTTTAGATGCCCACTCCAAACCGCTGCATTGCTTTCAGTATGGTACTAATGAAGATCTATATTGTATTATTTATAAGATTTATACAGATACAAATTCCTAGATATTTCAATTTGCTCTCAGTATGGTACTATTTCAGATCTGCATAACCTTAACCCTCATTACCCTTAGCTTTTGAGATTTATATAGCATCCAAAGATAAATCTAAATATTGCGTATATGTTAAAAAAGCCATATGAAGTATTTCACTTTCATATAATTATTCTAGGGGCATTCGTCTGGTTCGTGTTGGTTTGGTTTTTTCAATTGAGGTTTGTTCCGTTTTCACTATGAAACACTCAAGTATTTTTATGGAACCTGATTTGGTAATGGTTTGAGTATATTTACAGAATAGCCTGATTAGGATGAAGAACATTAAAAAAAAACACTTTATTTGATTTTGGCTAAGGATGAATTTAACACTGTTGTAACCTAATATAACTACGGAACTACCTAACAAGTTAAACGTTAAATTAGTTGTCTTTTTCGCTTTTCTTTTTATATTAAATAAAATCATAATAAAATACTTTTAACCTTTTTCAAGCTGATTCACACATATGTAGCTCACTCAAATCTCTACTTACCAACATTATGTTTTATTTTTGAGTAAACAGGCACTACAAGCAATCTGATTTTCTACCATAGTTATAAACAGTCACAAAAACTGAGGAAAATACGCTAAACTTTATACTTTTTTGTGGTATGACTATATGAAACATCATATCTTTTTTCGAGATATCTGATTTGAAATTATTGCTTTTTCCTCTTTAGAAAAGTGTCATTTTAAGGGAAAGATCATTATATTTGAAAGATTTAAAAATACGTGAACCATATGAGAATATGATCTCATTACTTCAAAGACTGATTGAAGGCAATCTTTTCTACTGCTTAGATTCATATGACTTAAAATTCTTGTTTGTTACTTTTTTGTTACAAAAGTAACTTAATGATACTGTTGCAAAAATAACCCTCATCCCATACCAAAGATTAGAAAAATGTATTTGTTAGGGAACGGGCCTATTAGAGTATTAATAATAATAAAGTGTATAAGTTTAGTATAAATAGAAGATAGAAGGGAGGAGTTTAGCAGGCTGTTTTAGACTTGCACTCTGGGATTTGGGAAGATCGAGAACTCTCTCTTTCTTTGGGGGGCTTCGGCTCAAGTTGGGGGCTTCGGCCAGTGTTACTAATTCATAGATAATAAAATTGCTTTGTTTTCTAGATTCTATTTTACAATTTCTCTTAGAATTATTGTGATTTCTGGAGGTCTCTATCAATTCACATATATGGTCACACTATACTTTGTATGTTACATTGGGCATTTAATCAATCGCGCAACGCGCGTGTAAAAAACTAGTTTTTATGATAAAACATATTTTTCTAAAGATGGTAGTATAGTGTAAATGTGTAATCTCTGTTGTTTAAAATGAAAAACAAAGGTAACAAGTAATTAACCATAACTACAAGAACTAACTAACTAACAACGGTATATGCAAAAAAACGGACTAACCGTACTATACGGTGACATTACAATGTCATTACCTCCCATGATCATGAATTTACAACTAAGGGCTTTTTCAGTTTTTTGTGGACCTGAGACTTCTACGACTAGGACATAAGTGACATAAAGTAGTTCTAATTTAGAAATGTACGGAGTATTAAATTAGAAGTGATTTGATTGTAATTTCCCAATACCAAAATGTTTTTTTTTTTTTTAAATTAGTAGTTCTAATTTAGAAATGTACGAAGTTCTAATTTTACGCATAATGTTTTTTTTTTTTTTTAAATTAGGACTCCTTCAGCTTGACGAACACGAAGGGACTACTTCAGTCGGACGTTGTCTGTGATGAATTTGGTTAGTGCAATCATTACTTTTTGTTTATTTATGTATTTTTATCAATTACTTAATTACTTAAGGTTGACATTAAAAAAAGTGACTACTTTTATATGGATAAAAATGTGACTAAAAGATAATAATTGGAAAATTATCTTAAATATGACTAAAAACGTTTGAAAATTTCAAAATAGGATTGTCATGTTTTTATTCCAAAAATAGGACTAATTTCTGCCATGTTTTGGCAGTATCGGGTTTTAAAGATGATAGTATTTTCCAAACTTGTCAGTAATTACTTGTATTTTGGGAATAAAAACATGACAATCCTATTTTGAAATTTTCAAACTTATTTATTCCTATTTCGGGAATTTTTCCCACAATAATTTAGAAAAGTCATTTTAACACTATTACTTTAGTACTCCCTCGTTCCAGCTTAGTTACCTAAACTTGACTTCTCAAGTCAATGCTGTCTAATTTTGATCAATTATAAAGTATAAAAAATAATATCATAAAGTTATTAAATTTTATGTGCACACTTTGCCGGAATCACATCCATCACTTGGCATAATCGGCTCGCCATCCTGGCATTCCCGTTTTTTGTAGCCTTAGCACAAGTAAAATAATTTATTGTAATAAGACATTTATTGATGTTTAATTTGTTGATCTTGCCAAATGTGCAAACATAATAAATTGCATTTTCCCCCATCTTTCTCCACTACCCACGCCCCCTTGATATGTACAGTGATTTGTGGACTTCTCCTATTTTAAATTACACAGGTCACCAGTATTATATTTTGTTCCTGGACGATTCTAGCAATTTTCTCAGATTTATCCTCTTAACTGCAAATTTGATGCGTTTCTCCATGCAATTTTCCACATTTGTTCAAGCCCATTTTCACACAAACATTATTAAAGTTCTATAATGTGACAGACCAAAACTACAATGCTACATTTAAAAAAGAAAACTATTTATGTCTGTCAAATTGAAAAAGTGTAGAAGTAATAATCCGTCATGCAAATACTTCCTTCGAATAAACTTATACAGGTTTCTGCCATGCATACGCATCTGCGGAGGTTGTTGGAGCTGTATATGCGTACGAGCAGAGTCTCAAGACCAAAACTTGGCCTGTAACTCACATACCATTATCTGCACAACAATTAATTGATGCGTTGCCCTACAACCCGGAAATTGGTATGGTGAACGACTACATCAAAAACTATGGGATCACTACTAAGAGTGATTATGACAATGCACGAGCCATAAATGAAGAGCTTATAAACATCCATCAGGCTAGTAACCGACAAATAATACGTAGTATATGCTTAACTATATTAATTTAATTAACTCCTTTTAAATAAAAAACTAATCATTCTTTTTTCTATTGCTATTTATTTATTCAGATGATCCGTTACCGTCCTAGCACGGTAACAAATATAAAAAACTCCGTAGATTTAAAGAGAGAGCTAAGGAGGTACCCCTTGGTAGGGGTGATTGACACGGCCAGTGAATCACTTCATCACTTAAAACGCCATGTACGTTCGAGTTTTGTTTAATTATTCCGATGTTTCAATAATTTAGTTATTAGTTGTTAAATTTTATTTTGAAAAGTTAATCTCCCTGCTTTCATATTCCATAGATACTTTTAGGGGTTTGTCCTCAAATAATACTACCTCCGTTCTCTTTTAAATGCAACGTTGGACTTTTTGCACTATTCATATGTTCTACTTTGACTACGTTTTATTTATCAATGCAATAATATATATTTTTGAAAAAAATATTTTTAAATTTTTCTCATTATAAATTTTCAAAATCTATTTTTTAAACTTTTTTTACTAATCGGGAATTATATATATTAATGGTCAAAGTTGTGCCTCGACAAATGTGAAATGTTGACTGTTGCATTTATTTAAGAACGGAGGAAGTACTAATTAAAAGCATTTGGACAAAAAAAGAGACTTTTCTTTTAAGTTCCAAAAATAAGACTAAATAATACTTAAGGGACTATTACACCCTTACTAAGCCCAAACCCACTGGCCTGCTACAGTAACCTGTCACAGTGACCAAATGTGCAGTGACCAATGTTACAGTTACCAATGACATAGTTACAAAATTCATCCAGTGACCAAAAATTGACCAAAAATCCAAAATTCACCAGTGACCAAAATTCGTCAGTGACCAAAAATCATTAGTGACCAAAAATCCAAAATTCACCAGTGACCAAAAATCGTCAGTTATCACTGTCCTAGTGACAAAAAATAATCAGTGACCAAAATCCAAAAATTATGCCAAGTGACCGACGCCCGTTCCTCCAGTGACCAACAACGCCTACTCGTCCAGTGACTAGCGCTCACCCGTCTAGTTATAGTTATTCAACCCGTTCAGTTACAGTTACCTAGCTAATACGTTCAATTACAATTACATGACATGTCCAGTTACAGTTATACGACTCGTTCAGTTACAGTTACACGACCAACTAGTTCCAATACTCGATTTGACCGGTTACAATTACTCAATCCGATTAATTACAGTTACTAGACTGATAATTACAGTTACCCGACGCGTCAATTATACTACGGTGTTACTAATAATTTGACCAATTGGACATACCCAACTCGACCAATTATAATTATCTGATTTGACCATTTAGAGTTACCCGGGTCTAATAGACTAATACCACTACCTTCGGCCACCACCGGCAACCGAAACCTCCGACCACCACCGGTGACCACTACCTGTGGCCACCACCGCCAACGATCACCATCTCCAACACCACATCCCAGCCCCCTCCTATGCATCACCCCACCCCTCCCCGGCCCCCTCCAGCCCCACCCTCAAGCCTCCACCGTCACAAACAATCTGCCACCACCCTCCCAGCGGCAGCCCCACCAGCCTAGCCCCCTCCCCAGCTGCCAGTTCCCCAGATCGACCCCACCGGCCTTGGGCCCTGTTGTAGTTCCCTGCTCACGCCGCAACACCTGTCCCGGCCCTGCTCCATCAACCTTCCGACCACCGCCACTGTCCATTCCCAAACCCATGCCCACTGCCCACAATCCAAGTTCATGGTCGAAAATTACCCTGCAGCTCTCTGGCCACGCTCGTCCATGACCACAGAACCTTAATCGCGGTTCACCGAACTCCACCATCACCGCATATCTCCATGAAACCCTACCCAGAGGGAACCTCGCCATAGATCTGGAAACTAGGACATTGGAATTGCGCTCGTTCGACCGCACCCTTCCTACAACATCACCCCTCCTTCAATTCGAGGAAGGCGACGAATCCTTCGAGGAAGACGATGGATGTGGTCGTTCGCAAAATCAGACAGAAAAAGAAAAAAGAAGAAATACAAGGCGAGGTCGATGGCGCCAATGGAGCGATGCGGTTGTGAATCTGTGAGAGTTGTTGGTCGGTAACTTAAGTTGCGCAGTGAAAAGGAGATCTGCGAATGCAATTGAGGGGAAGATGACGGAGATGTGCGGTTACGGGAAGAGATAATCTCAGGGGTAATAAAGTCTATTAATCAATAAAGTAGTAAGTTTTTAGTCCATTTGAGGATCCGGTCTTATTTACGTACATAACAATCGCTGAACTATTATTTATGTCATTACTCCATACTTTTATTTAAATAGTACTAAAATAAGGAAAAAATGTATACATAAAAAAATGAACTCCCTTGACAAAATTACGTTGAAAGAAATTCTAAATCTATTTTTAATTAAAAAAAAGAAGTTTTCCAAGAAACCCAGATAACTATAATGACACTACTGCTCGCAACTAAGGGGTGTTTGCAACTGCTTAAAAAAGCGCTTCTCGACTTTTGGTTTAAAAAAATTAAAAAAAGTGTTTTCAAATGACAACTTCTACTTAAAGAAGCGCTTCTCGGCTTTTGTGTGAAAAGTGTTTTTAACTTTTTCTATTACACAAAAAACACTAATTTTACCAAACACCACAAACTTTTACTTTTCAAAAGCACGTTTTTTCTCAAACACTATCAGCTTTTATTATTAATCATTTTTTTCAAAATCACTTCCAAAAATGCTTTTTATTTAAAACAGAAACACTTGCAAACACTCTCTAAACCTAAACTTGTTTCACCCTGAATTTGCCATCATTTGTAGACAAGCGTACAAGCACCACCACTTTTGGACATCAAAACTACTACTGCTAGAATATATGGGCCCATGCCCACAGTCCACATTCTCATTTTTTTTTTTTGGATGAAATGTAAATATATATTAACACCCAAGCAAAATTTAACAAGTACAATGTGTCCAAAAATTCAAATTCTAAAGCCCCCCACCCCCTCCTATTTCGTGAGAAAAGGAGAGGGTTAGAAGAGGCTTTTAGTCTAGTCTAACTCCAAAATAACCAATACACGCGACCCAAAAAAATCTAAGTCTATGACCGGTGCTACAAGGTGCACGCACTCGAATACAAACTGTCTAATGCCGCGGCATTCAAAAAAGTCTTGAATCTTCTCAAAAGTTGATCATCTCATATGGGTAGATACTATAGAGTATCTTGTAAACCATATGCTTGACCTTTGCAACAACATCATCTTCCGTATTTTTGCCATCATCAAATCTAATAGAGTTCCTCGCATGCCATATATAGTATGCTGCGGCACAGAAGGCTAATCGGGCTGCCTTCGCCTTCAAGTTTGCTCCTTTGCGGCTCTTCGAAATCCACTTGATCGCACTAAGCAATGTATTCATTTGATGCCCAAATCCCATCCAGCTTTTGATCCTCTCCCACACCCTACACGTGAATGGGCAAACAAAAAATAGGTGTGGAATTGTTTCCAATCCACCCTTGCATAGGTCACAACGATTCACGATATGGAGGTACCCGAGGCTATCCTGAGTGGGTAGCCTATTTCGTAGTGCCAACCAAACATTAAAAGAGAGTTTGGGTGGTATGTAGGATTTCCAAATGAAGCACATTGGGGTCCTAACAGTCCCCTTAATTCTCAAAAGTTCATAGATCTTGGCCGAAATCAATTTGCCATTAATGGATCTAGCGTTAAGGCCCATAATGGTTTCATTCAAATTATTAAAACACCCACGTATTTTATTACGTATTTGGTATAACCTCTTCAAGAATTGTGAGTCACGGCCGTGTGGAACGAATTCCCACACACTTTTACCCTTAAGGTAAACGCCATTAACCCACCTAACCCAAAGGGTATCCTTCTTCTTATGTAGGTCCCATAGTGTGCGAGAAAGGAGAGCGTCGTTCCAAACCTTAGCATTATGAATGCCAAGCCCCCCTTCCTCTTTAGGGAGACAAATGTCATCCCATGCCACTTTGGCGTACTTGCCACCCCATAAGAAAATCCTACATATGGAAACTATCCTATCCAAAATCGTTTGGGGAACCGGGAAGACTTGGAGCCAAAAAGATTGGACCCCTTGGATCACTGATCGGATTAGCTCCACCTTCCCAGCATAGGATATTGTTTTCGTATTCCATGCCTTTAAGAAATCATTGACCGTGTCAAGTAACGGTGCATATTGGGCAACTGATACCCTAAGGGGGGCAAGAGGGATCCCAAGGTATCTAACCGGGAATGTCCCTTGCCCAAAGTCGACGAGGTCCAACAAGCTATGCAATTCAAGGTCTCGCACACCCCCCACAAAAATGTTCGATTTCCCGTGATTTACTCTAAGGCCCGATACATCACCAAACTCTTTAAGGGTGTTAACTAATATTTCAACGGAATACGTATCACCCCTCGAAAAGAGCATAAGGTCATCTGCATAGGCCAAGTGAGTAATACCCAGTGATGCGCAAAGTGGATGGTAATTAAAATTCGCCCCTTTGGTTCTCATGGTGAGCAAACGGGAGAAATATTCGAGGCATAAGACAAATAATAATGGAGACATTGGATCTCCTTGCCTTATGCCTCTTTTTCCTTTGAAAAAACCATGTAACGACCCATTCAAGGAAACCGAGAAGGAAGCCGTTGACACACATTCAATTATCCAACCAACAAACCTAGAAGGGAAGCCCAACCCCTTTAGTACATTTTCAAGAAAATTCCAAGAAATGGTGTCATAGGCCTTATGCAAATCCACCATAATCATACATCTTGGTGAAATTCGCTTCCTATTGTATCCTCTAACAAGTTCCTGGGCAAGGAAAATGTTATCAAACATTAGGCGGCCGTCAACGAAAGCACCTTGTGCTTGGTTAATTAAACCCGAGAGGCAGGGGTTTAATCGTGCTGCTATAATTTTCGTAATGACTTTATACAACACATTAGTACATGATATGGGTCTATAGTCCGAAACTTTAGGTGAGTGATTAGTCTTAGGGATAAGTGCTATAATCGTATGGTTAATTTGTTTAAGCAACTTACCCGAATGAAAAAACTCCCTAATTGCTTGGACTATGTCATCCCCAATAAAGCTCCAATTTGCCTTAAAAAAGGCCGATGTATATCCATCCGGCCCCGGTGCCTTATCATCTCCAATGTCAAACAAAGCATCTTTAATTTCCTTGTTTGTTATTGGAGCAAGTAGGCTATCATGAACACTAGGTTCAATCAAGGGGCCCTGACCTAAGACCATCGGGTCAAGGTCTAGGTTTTCCACTTCCGTACCAAATAAATCCATAAAAAATCTAACAAATTCACCACCTACTTGATCCAAAGAAGTGGTGAGACTACCATCTTCCAAGGATATGGATGATATTGCATTTCTTGCCATATTCCTCTTCATAATGGCATGAAAATATCTTGTACCTTTATCGGCCTCTAGAATGTGTGTGGCCTTGGCTCTTTGTTGATAGAAGCTTGATTCGGCCTCACCAAGAAATGTTGCACGTTTCCTAGCCGCCAATAATTGCACTTTGATCTCTTCATCTAGAGGTGATTCAAGTGCCAATTTATTCAATCTTTTAAAATCCTCCTTTGCTTTCTTTGCCTTTGTTGAGATATGGCCATATTCCAATGCATTGAGCTTTTTAAGCGGCCCTTTGAGCAACTTGAGCTTCCTCACAATCGAATACTGGGCTGTACCATCAACAAAAAGGCTCCAATTCCGCGCCACTATGTTAGCAAAATCATGATGCTTAATCCACATATTAAAAAACTTGAAAGGTTTCGGCCTTAATGAGGAATTATGGAGTATTGATATAACGGAAGCCGTATGATCAAACTCCGCCTCCATTTCATTGAAATGGGCCTTACAACCAATTCCGTTAAGTCCCCAAACATCATTTAAAAGAACACGATCTAGCTTAGCCCACAGGGTACCTCTATTCCATGTATAAAATTCTCCCGTAGAGGGAGCATCTTCTAAGCTAGCTCTGACTCTAAATTCAAATAAATGTTGCATCATGTACGCCGTAGGGGGGTTGGAACCCAACCTCCACATTCTCATTATTTTCATCTACAACCACACCATTAGTTGATTGAGCTTAACTCTCGAACATGCCCCTTGGCCTTATGAGGGCATCTTATGAGAGAAATGATAGTGATTTATGATTTCTAGGATTTTGTTTGAGAATTTTGACATATTTGGAGTCATTAGATCTTAAATTCCTTGCTCTAAATACATTCCTATATTATTCATGGGAAGGACGATTTGTATTTGATCCTAAATTAATCTTCTTATATATTTTTTTCCTAAATCTTCCTACAAAGAGGGAGAGAGGATCATACGATAATACCATCTTATGAGAGAAATGATAATGATTTTAGAACGAGCTAAGGGTTAGATTAGTACTCGAAGTTGCATATATAAAAAGGGTCGAATAAGTCCTTCTATAGGAGGTTCTGTCCGGCCGTCACCATTTGGGGCGGTTCCCGGTGGAATTTTTTGACGAAATTTTTTGAGCATCTTATTCATTAAGTCTAGTTTACTCATACCAAATTTAGCTACAAATTCAACCGGGAAGGCATTCAAATGAATTCTTGAAGATAACTGCGCAGTTAAAAGCGCAATTATCTTCAAGAATTCATTTGAATGTCTTCCCGATTGAAGTTTTAGCTGAAATTTGGTATGAGTAAACTAGACTTAATGAATAAGATGCTCAAAAAAAATCATAAAAACATTCCACTGGGAACCGCCTCAAATGGCGACGGCCGGACAATAAGGACTTATTTGACCCTTTTTATGCAACTTCGAGTGCCAATCTGACCCTTACCTCTTTTAGAACGTTGAATTTGAGTATCGTGTATGATATAAAACATAAATGTGCATATAAATAAATGGAAATTGTACATTTCAAATGTGCAAAAGTATAAATGTAAATGTGCACATTTTAATTTTGCATTATTTCAACTAAAAATGTGCATTGTAGTGAATGATAAAGTGCATCAGTTTGGAGTGTTCTCATTTCTCTTGTGTTCTCACCGGAATCACGGGAACACCATTTGTGCATTTTCCATTTTTTTTATTCCGCATTAAGAACATCCTTATGTGCATTTTCGTGGAAAACACATAAAATAGGGAAAAACCACGTGACCATTTTGGCCGCTTAAATCCACTATCATCATCAAAGGGGCAATACAAAGTCTTCTCTAGATAATACTAGAGGCATACAAAATCATCATATCCTTGGAAGTAAGAACGCCAAGGTGTATGGAATCAAAATAGAGCCAAGATAAAAAGTATATCACCAGATAAATAGTTACTGTCCAGACCAATGAACCCCGACCTCTGGACCTTAAAAACAAATCTCCGCCATCCAAAACATTGGCCCAAATGCTGTGAAGCTGCTGTCCAAAAAAAAGACTATCCGACATTTCAATCTCTGGGAAACAAAACTTTTTAGCTGCTGCTTGCTGAAAAACGGGATGAGCATTCAGCTCATGCTTTGTGACTTGTGCTCTCAATATGTTGCTCTCTTTCTGTTCTTATATTTGAGATAGATTGCAGACCCTATTTTTTTTGCTCCCAAAATAGAATGCACTTGTAGCCTGAAACAGATTATACAGACGCAATAAAAAAAGAGAACTTCTTTTTGTACACACTTTTATACCCACCTTATACCCACCATGTTTGTGACGAGTTTTTTTTTTCCTGTCAACCGGATTCACAGAAAAAATAATTTTATAAACTCCTCACAAACATAGTGGGTACAAACGATTTACTTTTTATAAAAAAAATCATTCGTAAATGGAAAAGTTACAAAAAGGGGGCACTAACAACCATTTCATAAGAACAACTCTTCTACATGTGCGAAGTCAATTCGAACAAGTCGAAAGGGGAGAAAGATTTCTCTTCCTTTCCTTGGCCTTCAGCATGGAGGCTACCGTCCTTGATCACTTGATGTCACCGCGTCCTCCTCATCCGAGCTCTGGTTTGGATTTTGATGTGGATGTTGGCATTGGTACGACCAACCACATGATGGCCATGGGGCAATAGGCGATTCCACAAACAGAGTTGCCTCCTCTTGTAATTAGTACAGCTACCATCTATCTTGCAGCATAAAAAAAGATATTTTATTCACTACATAAAAATGAAGAAATTTTACCACCTAGAACAAAAAATGAATATATCATTGATAGTTTCTTTCATTAAACTTCCACAGTTTGTCGAATAAGAGTGTAATCAGTGTGTATTAAATTCAATTGGTTATATTCTTACAGGATATATATGCATCGAATGGGATTGGAGACCACGCTGTTATTCTTACGGGATACGGCACTGTGAGAAATCAAAAGTGCTACGAATTTAAAAATAGTTGGGGTGTTGAGTGGGCATGTGATGGTTATGGGCTGGTAGAGCGTGATGCTGTTCTTTCCATTTGGAGACCCAAGGAGATACAGGTTGTTGAGCCGGTAAGTTTTCATGTGGGTTATGGAATGTGGGCAACTAATCATTTAAAGACATAGTGATACACGTAAACACATCATACATAGATATTAAGACATAGTATAAATAACAGACATAGATAATCAATATGAACAAAACGCTTAAATTTAAATTAGAAAATAAAATCTTGACAGGCTAAAATGTGTAGTATGATATGGTATAAAAATGTGAATTAAAATAACATTTTATTGGCTACTAACGGCATAGTATAAAATAAATGAGCATTGTTCCACTAAAGAATGACTTACTCATAAAATAGAGTTAATGATGGAATTTAGTTGATAACATTTTTGAAATGGAGCTAAGAGTTTTTTTTTCAAAGTTACTAATGGAGTTAACAAATCACAATACTTGATAATTTAACTATTATCAATATCTAGTAAATTTGGCTTGTGCAACGACTAATTTTATTTTGACGCTCTTAACAATAAAATATCTAACTAATAACTTAGTTGCTTTTAGGTGTGTCAAAGATTTACAAATGCTAATTTTGGTTAAGATTAAAAAAAATTCTCTCTCTAGGGTTATCGGCCGATAACCCTTAGCCTTGTTTTGTCCGCCTTCGATCATATCCAAGGGTGAGTTTATTGGTTGTTTAGGGCGGTGCTGATTGGAGGTTTGGGCGGTTGGTGTTTTGGATTGCTGAAGAGGGCGGTGGTCTTGACTATATAGTCATGTTATTTCGGTAGCTTTGGGGAGGTGCAACGAGTTTAGGCTGCCAATCGATAGCAATAGCAGGGTCTTCGGCGGAGGATTACAGAAGGCATATGGAAAGCTTTGTTGATCGTTACAAGCAGATGGCGATCGGTGATGACGAAAAAGAGCTAAATCTCGATGAAGGTGAGGTTGAAGCGTAAGCATCGTCTCTTTGAGATCCGGGAATTTGACCTTGCGGTCTGTCAGCACCTGGCCGATCACTGGAAAACCCGTCGCCGCTTCCTCCGCCGGAATTCCTTCAACCTCACCTTCATCGAGATTTAGCTCTTTTTCGTCATCACCGATCGCCATCTGCTTGTAACGATCAAAAGGTACATGTGGGTGAAAGAAATCAGTGAAAAAGGTACATGTTTTCGTTTAATCGTCGTTTTGATATGAAGCGTGTGCTTGAAGGAGGTCCTTGGCAGTTTGAACTTAGTCTGGTAATGTTAAAAGAAGTTATGCCTGATGATATCCCACACAAAATTATATTAAAAGAGACTGAGTTTTGGGTACAGATTCATAATGTTCCCTTATAGTCTTGTTAATCTGGGTTAGGAGAATTTATTAAATATGATGATAACCAGAAGAAGGAGAGATTAGAGCCATATATGAGGGTTATGATTCTTATGAAGATAGATAAATCGCTAAAGAGGGGCCAAATCTGAAAAAAGATGGTAAAAGTTTTTGGGTAGATTTTAAATATGAAAGATTACCCAACTTTTGCTTTATCTTTGCTTTGATTGGACATTCAGATAATTTTTGTCCCTTAAATTATGAAGAAGGCTTAGTTTTAGAAAAAGATTTGGAACCCAACTTAGAGCAGGTAGCGGGGTGAAGACCAGCCCTACGGGAGGGCAAAATTAGCTCCTGGATGGTTCATCGAGCTCTGGCAAAACGGGTGGCGGTCCAGGGACATCCAAATAAAAAGGAAAGATGGTAAAAAAGGAAAAGTGTCAAGGACTGAATCAGCCCAAAGCTATACACAAGGAGGGGAGGAGCCAAAAGAAGAGGTTTCTAAGAGGAGGAAGATCTAAGAGATTCAGACAGAGAAGGAGCAAGTGGAGGACACCATGGCTATGGATGGGACAAAAAACGGGGAGGAGGCGGGCTTTGCTCCTTAAGCCCGCCGAAGATGCTGGTTAAAGGTTGGAGGCCGCAAGTCAGAGGGATGGTTCGAGTTTTCTGGCTGCGACAGGAGTGTTTTTTATTTTGTTTTGTTTGCTACTTCAACAATTGTTGCTTTTGTTTTGGTGTTTGTTTCTTCATTTATTTTCCAGTTTGTAAGACGTTGATTTTGGATATGGGGGATAAGAGGAATATGATAACCATTTTTGGTTTTTTGTTTCTCAGTTATGGATCAGCGAATTATATTGTTACGGCGACTAATTCCGAGTCTGGTTCAAGGGATAACGGTTGTCAGATTTCTTTTTGTCATTTGACCCATACTCTGAATTATTTGTTATCAATATAAGCCGAATTCTTCCAAAAAAAATTACAAATGCTAATCTTAAACTCGTTCCCATGATTTAGTTGATTACACTGTCTTGAACGAGTCCCAGTTCCGTCATAATTTTATTAAGACAGAAAGAATTGAAATGCAAACTCAACTTAACCTAAATTTCTTAGTAATTTAGTGGGTGAATGAAATAATAAGACTTTTTAATAAAGTTTCACTCATGTGATCATTTCCCACGATGATGTATTTAGGAGAATAGAATATTTAACCTAACACTCCTAAAATTAACCAAGTAATCATTTTTAACCGACTATAATGACATATAGCTAGTGGTGGACTCGGGTCGGGCCACCCAGCCCATGAACCGGCCCGGCCCGCTACTGTGCGGGCCCAGGACCGGCCCGGTTCACCGGTCCGGGTACCGGGCTTTGACCCGGCCCGAGGGGGAGACGGTTCTGAGCACGGTTCCTTCAAAATGAGACCCCGCCCGGCCGGGCCCGGTTTGGGCCCAATTGAATTTTTTTTTTCATTTTTTTTGGGTTCCACCGGGGTTGGGCTTGATGTTTAGGAGGGGTTTGGGGGGTGAGGGGGTGTTAGGGATACTTAGGAAAGCAAAAAAAAAAAAAAATAACCAAACCCGAGGGCTGGCCTGGACCCGGTAGCTACCCGGGCCGGTCCCAGGCCCAACTATTTAGAACCGGAGGCCCGCCCTGGCCTAGGCCCGGTCCGGACCCGACCCGGCCCGAGTCCAACCCTACATATAGCGGGTCGATGCCTTCTGCTCTTTCCGGTAAACATTAACAATAGAAAATAAAACTTACTCAAGCCTAAAGTAAATTTGTTAGACATAATTAACACAGATGAATAAAAGTAAAATTCTTGCTAGACATATTTAATTTAACAATTCAAATTAATAAGCTAAGTAAAATATGTACGTACGGAGTAGTATTTAAAAACCTGGAATCATTAAACGGATGAAGAACATGAATGGGTTGAGACGGAAATAGATTGAAATCCTTGAACTAAGTTGGAAACGATTCGGATTAATATTCCCAAATGAACTTTTACTGTCAAAATATTAGAAACAAAAAAACTGGAAATGAAAATTACAAAGGGATTTTAAAGAATGTATTCTTGAAATAACCAGTTTTCTTATATGGCTATCAATATACACAAAGCTAGAGAGAGAAGAATGATTTCTCTCATCTTGGTGTCTTGCAGGAGTTGCAGCTCCCGAATGACCCTCTGTAACAGCAAAAGAAGAGTATGGGCGGCGGCGGCCATTGAATTGAATCTTCACCGGATGTGATAGCCAATTTCTCATTTTCTTCGTATGGACGCAGTTGTGCCTGTGCATTAGACATTTTTGTTTAGAAATTACTTCAAATAGGACTAAAACTATGACAAAAACTCAAAATAGGACTTGCTATGTTTTTTATTCCAAAATAGGACCATAGTGGTCCTATTGGAAACATACTCATTTCTTCCTTCCATTCTTACCCCTCCTTTAAATATTAGTAAAAGATACATAAAAGTCATAATTAAATGTTTAATTCATAATAAATTCGAAAAAAATTCAATAATTCGTAGAAAAATAATAAAAAAATTAATAAAATTTTTATAAAATAAAAAATAAGAAAAAAAAAATTTAATTTTTTTTTTTTTGAAAATTAATAAAAAATAGTAAAACTCCATAAAAAAATTTAAAAAAAATATGGATACCTTTTCCACCGCCTGTACTACCTCCCTGAACCACCACCTCCGATCGGTGTAAAAATGCCACTTTTTTTTTTAATTCCACAAAAATGGCATATTTCTCTATGAGAATGCAAACATTTTCATTCTGCCAACTTGAATCCTTTTGACTTTTGCCAAAAATATGGCATTCATAATTTTTTTGGCATTTTTTTACCCCGGTGATAGGAGGTGGTGGTACCGCCTCCCAACACCACCACCTCCGACCATTAAAAAAAATGTCATATTTCCTACAAACTTCCATTTTTTTTGGAAAATGCCAAAAATATGGCATATTTCTCTTTGAGAATGCCAACATTTTTTTCTTCCATCTTAAATCATTCTAAATTATGCCAAAAATATGGAATTCATAATAAATTTGGCATTTTTTCCCCAAATGACTAGAGGTGGTGGTGCTGGGGCGGTATAGGCGGCGGTGACAAAAAAAAATTGATTTTTTTTTATTTTTATTTTTATTTTTTTTAAATTTGTTTTTTTTAAATTTATTATTATTCAAAATATTTTTATTAATTTTTTGGTATATTTTACGAATTTTTATTATTTTTTATTATTTTATTATGAATTAAAACATTCCAATAGGTATAAGGGTATATTTGTCCAAGACAAACATAATTAGTCCTATGGAAACATAGTTTATTTTTTGGTCCTATTTGTGCAAAGTGAATGACTTTTGGTCCTATTCTGATAATTACTACCTCCGTCCCCTAAAACTTTGCCATGTTTGACCGGCACGTGGATTAATAAAGTAAAAACTGTGTGGTTGAGGTTTGTGCAGAGGAGAGAGAATTAACTGAAACCACAAATTCTTTACTTAAAAAAGAAAGTGGCAAAATTAGTGGGACATCCAAAAAAGGAAAGTTGGCAAAGTTTTAAGGGACGGAGGGAGTAACTCTGTACTGTGTTATTTTTGGTGTATGCTAAAGACACTGAAGACGTGGTTGGCTACATTTGCAGAGTAGGTCTCTTCAATCAATGATTGTTTACTCACTCTAAAGAGTTAATGGGTAATTTTTCTTGTTATACAAAATTTGCATACAAATTGTACACGGTATGTGTCCACAAGGAATTGTGAATAATTACTGATTTTTAAAAGGAAATGTAATGTACACAGACAATTAGAAGGTGTCTACTAATTTTGTGTACAAATGTTATTTTCCAAGTGAATAGTACTTGTGAGCCAAAATTTTGGCTCTTATTTGCCGCTTGCGTCTTTGACGTGCACTTTGTCGTGTGTGCACTCAAAATAAATTTCAATACTAGCACTAATACGTAGTATAGCGTAGTAGAGTTCGTATCCACAGGGAAAGGAATAACTTTCTTTTTATGTAAATAGTAAATAAAGGGGGGTTTTGTTTGTTGAGTGATTTAATTAAATTAAACACGAAGATGAACGAGTTATATGGAATTAAATTCAGGAATAAAAGGGACTTGGTCTTGCTACTTTCCACTTGTTGATATATTTTAGTCGATCATTGTTATATCTATAACTTATCCCCTCTCGAATACTCAATCGAGGAGTATATCCAATTCATCGAGGGTAGTTATTAACAACGACCGTTCATTAATAACCCTTACTATTAACCAAATATAGAACAACGCCGTATACCGATTTAATAGTAGCATTTAACCTCTTTAACTCCTTGATGAAATCAATTGAGATTGATAACCTCAACACAACGGTTTCGGTTTAACCAACAAAATTAATCCCTCTTAAGTTTATTAACCACGACCGTGCATTAATAAACCGAAGTTACTTACTTATGAAACCTTCAACGTTTAACCATCGGTTCGTTGAACGTTTCTAGTAATAATCAATGTCGGAACGTTAACTAATCGTCACTTAGCCACCCTCCAACAATGATATAGAATGAGATTAAGGGAAGAATTAATAATCAAGAGGAGAAAGTAAGAAAATAACTTACAACTTTAATAATCAATCAAGCTTCAAGAGCAAAACCAAGAAATGGAAGTTTAGCTCCTCATTTGGAGACTAAACATACTAAAAGAAATATAGGGAAATGCTATTCTAAACTGAGCTTAAGAGTATAAAGGAATTGGTTCTTTTTTGTGGAGGAAATGTGGTGTATTTATAGGCTTTTTAGGCCTGCAGGGTCGTGTACCCGATCGGGTTTTCAGCCCAACCGATCGGGTAATGGTTATTTCCTCGAAACTGAAAATCTGGGGTCATACCCGATCGGGTATGTCGGCCACCCGATCGGGTATGGATACGCGATCGAGTTAAAAAATCCTCCTGCATGTTGCTTTGTTCCCGGGTTGATTCGATTTGACTTTTCAGCAACTTACCCGATCGGGTATAGAGCATACTCGACCGGGTACACTACCAAAAATCAGAATCTTCATCTTTTCTTGAAATCTTTGCACCTAGGGCGGTGCACGGGTCGGGTTCGGGCGGGTCGGGTTTGCGAACCCTAAACCCGTTCGGGTTTTTTAATTTAAATACTAGGCCCGACCCTTTGATATTTCGGATCGAGTATTTCGGATATTTTTAAGTCGGATATTATCGGATATCGGGTCGGGTTTCGGATATTTCGGTTATATTAAAAAAACATATAATTGAATTATTAAAGTGTTTAAATTCCACTTTGACAAAAATTGTACACACTAGTGCACTAAACATCCAAATTACACAAATAATTTAACACAAATTGCACAAATAATTACACAAATAATTGAACACAAGTATTAATTTAACATATTCAAAGTACACGCTACATAATTTAATATACTTCGAATATTTCGGTTATATTAAAACACATTATAATTGGATAATTAATGTGTTGGAATGTCACTTTGACAAAAATTATACACATTAGTGCACTACACATTCAATCTACACAAATAAATTAATGCAAATTGCACAATATAATTAGATTAATTACACAAATAATTGGATGCAAGTATTAATTTACCATATTCAAAGTACACACTAACATATATTTCGGATATTCGGGCGGGTCGGGTTGGGATTTTACAAACCCTACCCGCCACCCGATCTAGACCCAATATTAATCGGATTTTCGGTTTCGGGTTTTTCGGGTCGGATATCCACTTCGGTTCGGATAATATCCGAAAAAAATATCGGGTTTTTCGGGTCGGATCGGGTTTTGCTCAGCCCTATTTGCACCTTCCTTCCATTTGTGATGTTTACCAATGGTCCCTAGAGTGGTCTTGGACCTGTTTGAGCTCAGAACCAACCTAATCTAAACAATTTACAAACATTTTACAAACTAAACTATTACACCAAAAGTGTGTAATTTCTCGAGTAACAATCACTCAAAACTAA